TAAACCTCGGAAGTTATAATTGTGATTCACGCTTATTAATATGGAACTTCATATATATATTCACCGGAACATTTATAAGTTTCGAACATTACAAGTCATTCAACTTCAGTGGATTCACATCGGACATTAGTACTTTTACGAAAACATTACCTAACGTCATTAGTAGGAAAAATCGGCGTGTGATCAGTGAATTTCACAGAGCTAGCTAGCTTCCTATCTAAATAAACTCGAAATTAACTCGCTCATTGTGAACACTCAATAAGACTTCAAGGAAGTTCCAGACTAGAAGGAAGATTTTATATTGCTTGTAAATTTGTAAAACTTTTGTATATATAAATCATTGTTTGTAATAACTATTTGTAATAACTGTTATTGTAAATTGTATTGTTCTTTACATATCAAAACATATTTGTATTAAAAAAGAAACTGTGTGTATCAATCTTGTTAGCAAATATCATAAATTGGGTACATATTGGCATTTATTTCACTACTGAATTTAAACTATCATTTAGCTCGGTTTCAGACCATTGGAAATTGTAATACGTTACGTAATAAAGTGAACAAGGAAATACTATATATTTAATGATATAATTTATTTGATTTACAAAATATATAGATAATGAAATCTTTTACACGTAAATTATAATTTTAAAAGCAATAATTTTGCATAAATTTCAATGAATCCAGAAACGTTTTATAAACAAATACAGCTTCTAAATTATGTACAAAAATAAAAATAGATAGGGAAACTACTGTTTTTGTTCTAAAATTTAAATGGTTTTTTCTCTTCACACTTTTCGAGACAAGTTAGACAATTCAACGAATTCAAGAAATACCATTACGATAACAAGATATTTTCCTTATTACATAATAATCGATATGATGTAACGAAATTAATTATCATGCTGAGCTCAGAGAAGATGCATATATGCATTGTTATGAGGCTTCTAAAGCAAAAACAACTATCAAAAAATGTTATTAGATGATCATAAAATCGAATGCTTATATTAATTTTAGAGAAGTTAATTACACAAATCACCTGCAGCATGCTTATTCACTTTAGCCAGTGAGACGATTTGATGTGCACATGGGTCAGTAACATATTACCATGTTTTTGAATTAATCTTTTTAAATGATTTTTAAAACCTAACTCGTAACTAATTGTACTAAACTAAATTATAAGTCATGCTATCCAAAGTTAACTTTGTATCAGTTATTGCTCATTTGTACTTTTAAGCTATTGAAAATTGTCATTATATTGAGATACAGTGAAACAAGCCATGAAGAAATATACCGCAGTTGCTTTTACTAACAGTCATAAGAAACTTTAATATTATCTACACGTTGAAATATCTAAGGATTTAACTGGTAATGTGAAACTAGTATTATAAGATAAAATATGATGTAAATACTAGAATCACTATACTATGGAATATCAATAGCTATTGCAATTACTATACTATGAAAAGTAATGAGGTTTAGAAACCAATATTTGTATAAGCTGATGCTATAGAATTGATTTATTCTTAGTGTTTTTTCTTCATTTGGCAGATCCCTGTGTATTTTAAATAATTTCAGTTAGGTTACGGGTCTAAATAACAATTCTTGCTGCAAAGCAAGATCATGAATGTTGAATTTCCCATTATTTAAATATATTAAAACGACAACACAATTTTCTGAACAAAGCTGAAAACACAACATTAAAATAGATGATATCGTACACTAACGTACACTTAACCTTCAGAAAGATCTCATTGCTGACACCTAGGCCTTCTATATTTCGTGCAGAACAGGAGAATCGTCCCTTATATTCTGGTAGTAAGCGCTGTAAAACGAGAGTTTGGTTGGTGATTATAATCCCCAAGGAGCTATTTGAAGTTATAGTTTTGCCTTCAAAATGCCAGGATACCTGCGACACCCAAGGGTTAGCTCGAATGTGACATTCAAAGTATACATCATCACCTTCTTTAATGTCTGTTGTTAAAATACTGGTCCCAAGGTCAAGTGACACCTGAGGTTTATCTGAAAAGTAAATAAGGATATCATTATTGGATTCAAATGTTTCTGCAAACTAATGCATTTGAAACATTTTATGTGTACTTCAAACGTTATGCCCCTCCTTCTTGATAGAAATATGAAAGTTTATAAAATCTTACGCTAAAAAGCAGTAGTATGAAGAACAGTCAAAGGATTTATAAAGCTCACTAGTTGGCTTCTGAAAGCAGATATTATACATAACTAGTTAAAAAGTGAAATAAATAAATCTATACACCAAATTACGCTTACAGAAACTGGTTATTTGCTCAACAATATATAAAAGTTACATATTCGTTAAGGTAAGTAAATATTTAAGAATCAATTATGATATGTTATTTAAATACAATAAATATTAATTATGTGAATTATAAACGTCACGGTAAATTGTATACAAACTAAATACAAGTATATTTAGGCAAAATAAAAACAGTAACCTAAAAAAATAGTGATTAAAGAAAAAAGTATTGCAAAACAATATATATATATATAATATGGAAAACGATAGATAAACAGAGGCTTATGTTATTAACAGATTTATGTAAAATAAAATAAAAGGGAAGACAATTTACACATTCCTAAATGACGAAGTGTTTCCAAACAATAATGTTACACAATGTCTATGAGCGCAGGTTTAGATAGCGGTGTAGTGTATAGTTATTATGAACATTCAACGATTGCTATGAATGACATAGCAGCAATAGGCCTAAATTGATCAGACCTAAGCCTAAACGGAAAATAATTGACGTTTCGACCTTATCTAAACGTTTTCATCAGAGGTATAAATGTTTAAAAAAGTAAAAACCAAGGACTAAACAGATTAAATAGTTATTAACTCCTGAGGAAAAGATTAATGGAGTGCACACTTAGTTTACTTCTGGTTTATAGGCCCTTATGGCCAAAGATGCTTGAACTCTAAAGAGTTTGTTCGTCAGACGCAAAGAATATAATATGAAACTGGTCTGTTAGGCCAGCTGAATTACATTCGCTTGAGAGTGCCTGAATATACGTAAGTTATTATAATTAGAGAAAAATGAATGTTCAGAAATTCTTTGTTGGAGATATCTCGTTGTTAAACGTATTTATAAACGCCTGATGATTTTTGTAATGGTCAAGTTTATTTGTGTAATTTGTGGAAATTGTCTTTAAATTGGCAAAACATTTAATGAAATAGAAACATATGATGAAATAGAAGCGGCTTGATCATTGTTATTAAACAAAACAAATGTTTCGACAATGTAGCTAATATGATGAAAGAAATTAATTTACAAATAACATTTATATTTCAGCTAATTTAAAAAATCTCAACGTTTCTTTCTTCACGTGTAGAAATAAAACAAATTAAAAAAGGAAAACTCTCTATCGTGATCACCAATTTCGTTTTGATTACTGTAAGCAGCTTTTCAGATTACACACACATCTTAAGTTTCTTGAAACAAAATCAATGAAATTATAAAAACTATAAATCTTAAATACTTCAAGAAATTATTTTTTTTAGCAAACTGATTTACAGAGGTAGTTTATAGCGCAATTCTGACAGCATTGTCACAGATCTGTCGGACTATCAACCAAGTTACGATAATAGATTGTCCTAAGTAGAGGTTTTGTTTGTTTGCAGTTAAGCTCACAACGAGTTTCGAAACCGGGCTTTAACGTTGTAAGTCAGATATACCTCTGAGCCACTGGAGGGGGGAGGAAGCAAAGTAGAGGTTTATCCTTTGCTTTTACAACTCCAGAATTCAACTTGTTTATTTTATGATTCCTTTTGAAACTTTTTCATAGCCGAAGAAGGTAAATCTATCTGAGTTAAGAGTGAACTAACCTTTAGTAATATTTGGCTCCATTGTGTGAACGTGTTTTGCTGAAACGGGCTGCAAACCGTGAATTCTCAGATTTAGAACCCGGGCACGCTAACCTTGTGCCACGCCCTTAAAAGGGGAAATGTATGGAAATATTAATAAAAACAGATGAGGGATTATTATTTGATTAAATTATTTGTGTTAATGTACTCATGAATATTTCACCAAAACCCCAACTCTTGTTTTCCTTGCTGAAATATTAAGCAAAAGACAAAAATTCTAAAATTGTCTCTATCTCTGTTTGGTACCTATAAAAGTATATTTATGCCAAATCCCATGTAATTTGGTAAAAAAATTGCCAGGTAATTGACCAAACACCCAAAAATTATGCTTTTTGTGAACCCTCCCCTAAAAAGACACTATATGTGTAAGGCTAACTTTTTTGTATGTTAATATGTTGGGCACATGAAAATTTATGTTTATGTCAATTTTCATCTTGACTGCTGTAACTATGACCACACAGGAGCCCAAAATGTACATTTTTGCGTTGCTTGACCTTGAATCCCACAAAATCCTAAAAATGGCCTACATGAAAATAGAAAAAAACAAAAACAACATGAAAAAGGCGTCTCGGTGTATAACTCTGCCAAGTTAAGTCAATCCGTCGAGAAATTAAGGAATGGCTGTCGATTGAAAGTGTTTGGAAAGAGAAGAAACAATAGAAAAATAGTATGTTTCTCTGCGGAAACATATGTAGTTAGTTCACAGCCATCACCACAAGTAAAGGATAAAAATAATCTGACAATTGTATTCCTATATGCTCGTAGCTCTGAACCTCTAAGTACAAAAAAAGCGTGTTTAAGAAAAATACAGCATTTTTAATTCTACGAAAAAGTAGATTTAACAACTAACATCAGCCATATTCCACGCAAGAAAATCCTAGTAATACAAAACAACTTGAAACATATCTTTGCCAACTAGAACCAAATATCACGGAAACTAACAAAGTCATATGACAATTGGGATTAAGGTGAGAAATGCAACATAAAAACACAACCCTAAACGTTATGTATTAATTATGGTTTATCTTAACACACACACACATCGTAGTATGAAAATAGTATTACGCTCTGTGGAGTGTATATTATACTTGTATTTTGAGGTCACACGTCTTCATAAAACATTTTAAAGTTCTGCATTAATCAAGAAGAGATAATTTTTTGGCGACTAAACCAATATTTACAAAACCTCATACGGTGGCTCCTTAGTTTTTCAACTACTCCTCTTTTACAATGGATTCAGGCTAAAATATCTAGGACATCATTTCATTCAGTACTGTAGTGAATAAACATATATTTTTAAAGGCTCATGAGATCAATTTCCGAAATCTGAAACGAATAAATAGATTTTACACCGAACTAAAATAAATTTAACTACTAGGCTAAAGATAACATAGCCAATGGCATTTACACGTAAGTGTACAAGTTCAGAAATTGTCACTAAATCTTAAAACATATAAAATCAATAAAGAAGAGTAAAAGCGAGTGAAATAGATAACACTATTGTTGGTCTTCGTAAACTTCATTAAGCAGTGAACAAGATTTACATGCAACATTAATGGAGATGGGACCATTACTGATATAAACATAACAACCAGACCAAAAGCTAGTTGTATAAACTGATGAAGTATGTAATGTATCATATTTAAAGTTTTAGTCCAGCAAATCATGAAGTCAATCACAAAAATAAATTCCGTACATGGTACTTACATGTTCATTACTACAACTAAAGTTTTATTTAGTTTAAATATTACTTCCAGATAAAAACTGTTAATACAAAAAATAACAGTTTTGCTGATGTTATTTAATATTGGTTCATTAATCATTTCAAAGACTGTTTTTATTCCTGTTTATAAACAGTGATACTTACAATCGATACTTGAATATTTCAAGCCTTTAAAAAATTTAATATTTATGTATGAGAGGCAAAATATTTTATTTCTAGGTTTAACCTATCACCTTTTCGTTGCTTACCTATGAAAAAAGTGTACACACTACCTATTCTTTAGAGAATGCCAAACCTCAGGAACAGCTCATTTCGCAGGAGGTGGGGGGTTGCAGTGTATGTATGAAATTTTTCACACAAAAAGTTAATTGTGAGAAAGTATAAAAGAAAAAGCAGAAAACAATAGGCCACAGAATATAAAACTATAGAATTTGTTTGTTTCCAAGTTAGATACTTCAAATAATGTTTTGTGTCTGTAATGGCACTTCAGACTTATAAAGTTAACTTGTATATCTTTTTTTAATAATTGTAGTACACAATACATAACGATTTAAATTATGTCGAAAAGAAGTAAATAGGATACGCTCTGAGATCTTTTACTTTTATGAAACACTTCAATTGCAATAAATTTAATAAAGTTGAATTTGTGTTACTATTTTCATCACGAATACTAAATAATTCATTTTAATAAAAACGTTACACAGGTACCTTTGTTGGGTAGAATAAGTTATGACCGAGGATGTTAAATAGTAAAGAAAAGTTGTAAAATAGTAGAAAACTGCGCATTAGAACGTGTATCTTGTTAAATAATTTTGTTAGTTTAACCGTATGAAAAATATATACTTGTATTAGGATTTGCCTTGATTTAGCCAGACTCAAAATTGTAGCATCTATGAGATTTGTAAATGAGTATTTATTCAGGCATCCTATTTTTTATCCTTTATTAAAGATTATGTGTTTTGTTTTCAACAGTTTCTCTATATGGATTATTTATCTAAATATGCGGCATTTTCAAACCAAACTCTAAACTTAGTAAGGATATGTTTCAATGCCATATATTTTTCAAAGAATATAGCATTATCTACATAGAGTTAAAAATGGTAGCATCTCCGCGAAGTCTTATTCCATTAGTGTTTTATTTATCACTCGTATAAGTATATTTAGGAAAATCTTACCTAAAAACAGTGATAACAAGTTTTAATATATTACGAATAATGACTGAAACTTCTTCTTAAACCTTATTACACAAGAAGGGAAATATGTTTTTCTTATTATATAATAAAGGTGAAGCTACATTTATTAGTGAAATATTACAACTGTGACTACTACACTATTCAGAGTCATGGATTGTTAATGGATGTTAATATATTTATTACTTTTATCACAATATTTGAAAAGCCGTGC